ATAAAAAAAAAAAAAGTTTTTCAAATCGATGATGGCGCGGTCGTGGACATTTTTTATTTTTTATTACCTTAAAAAAGAAAAAGGGAAAATTATAAATCGAGGAGGTATCAGACCCGAATTTTTTCTCTCTCTCTCTCCATCTGCGTTTTTACTTTAACTGGAAAAAATTTTCATAAAATTATTTTTAAAAAATTTTTTTTATAGGGATAAGTGAAAAAAAAAAAGGTCGGGAACAAAAAGAAATTTTTAGTTTCGTACGGAAACAGATTGATGGAAAATATTTTGGGTAAAAAAAGGGGGAAGGGGGTGGAGAAAAAAAGGTAAAAACATGAAACAAATACCCGAAGTAAATAATATAAAAAATTTAAAAGGGAAAAAAAAAAATTATTTTTTTTTTTTTTAAATGAGCCGAAGAGAATACGATTGAACAAAATAATCGGAAACGAAGAAAAAAAAATAAATAAATAAATTGAAGAATTTAACAAAGAAAAGAAAAACAAAATAACAGAAAAAAAAAAGTTTATTTGTAAAAATCATTCGACGTAAACTAATTTCGATTTCGAAAAAAAAGGCAAAAAAAAAAAAAATTTTTTTTTAATGTAAAATTTGTTTCGATAAAATGAGTGAAGGAAATACGGAATAAAATCAAAATTTAAACACGTTCACGTGATGTAAACAAATGACGTCATCCTTTGTTCACTTCCTGTTTTTCTCTATATTTATATAAAACAACAAGAAAATTAAAAAAAAAAAAAAGTTTCCATTTATTAATTATATAAAATTTTCATGTAAAATTATTTTTTCTTTTTTTCCTTCCTCTTTTATCCAACTGTAAAACCTTTTCCGGTTTTGAAACAAAACAAAAACAACAGCAACAAAGAAAACAATCTTGTTTGAAATTAATTAAAACAAGTTTTAATTATTTATCAAATAATGTTTTCTTATTGCCATGTTAAAATTTTTAAACAAATCACTTCCGATCAATAAAAAAAATTTATACGGTAGAATTAATTAATAAAAATATTTACCGTAGCAAAGGAAAAAAAAATTTCTTTAAAAAAATCATTATTATTATTATTAATATTATTATTATTATTTAAAATACAATTTATTTAATTACAATCACTTAAAATGGATTTCACACGATTTATTAATTGTTTATTATTATTATTATTATTATTATTATTATATTTATGTTTATTAAATTATTATAAAAAATATTAAAAACTTGATAATAAATAAAATAAACGTAAATAGTTCCCATAAAATTCGAACGTCCATTATCAGACATAACGGAACTAGCAATTACGATTGGCTGCCCTGAACCGTGTGAACCCGTCGATGCGCTACTCACATCCGGTAAAGACGAACAAGCCGTTTGTACCTGAGATGTAGTGTAATTATCTAAACCGTTGCTACACCTATGACTGTGAAATCCCCAACACGCGGCATATGCAATAGCATGAGGTATGTAACTTTGATCTATGACCCCGGTGAATACCGACGAGGCCAAAGGTCCCTGAATTAAATTTCATCCGACATTTTAAATATTTTTATTCGTTCGAACGATGAAAAAAATTTTTTTAACTTACCTGGGCGTAAATCGGAACATCTTCTCCACCGTGTGTTGCCCACTGTCTAGGTACGGCAGCACCGTGTACCGAATTTTTTTCTTCTGCTTGTTTTCCGACGGTCGTACCATTATTTGGAATCGTTCTCGGTTCGCTAAAACCAGGTCCGTTACCGTAAATTAACGTGGAATAAGGAAATCCATCGATGTCGGAAACTTTTCCATCCGTACCTGAAAATAATAATAATAATTGTAAGGAATATTCCGCGAGTAAATATTAGCAAAAAAAAAAACCAACGTTTAATTATCATTTTTCTTTTTTTTTTGCTTTAATTAAAATAAGAAAATTATTTGCACGTTTTAATTGAAAAAAATTATTTTTTACCAAACGTACGGATACGGTTTACGCTGTTACCAACATAATCTAAAAATCTTTTAATTTCCCGCCTTTTTTTTTTTTTTTTTTTTTATCTTAACAACTAATTACAATAAATTTTGTTTTTAAAAATGTTTCCCGTTACGCGCCAAAAAAAAAAAAAATTATATTATTTATCCGCCATCTTTTTTTTTTTGAAAATACGTATTTAATTTGTTCGCTTTTTATTTATATAACGAAAAAATCTTTTTTTTCTCCTTTTTTTGTTTTGTTCTGTTTTATAAATTTAAAAGTTAAAAAAAAAAAAAAAAAAAAAAAAAAAAGAAAAAACAAAAAAGGTAACAAACAATCATTTAAATTATTTATTTATAATATTTATCGAAAAAAAAAATTTTTTTTTTTTTGTAAAAAAACAAAGGAAAACATTTAACAAAAAAAAAAGGAAACAAAAAATCAAAAAAAAAAAAAGGAAATAAAGCAAAAACCTTAACAAGAATTTCTCGAAGGCATTTTAATATAAATTTATACTATCAAAATGACAGATAAAAAAAAACAACGACGAAGACGACGACGACGCCATTTCGTTTTTATTTCCTTTTAAAATTTTTAAAAAATTCCAAAAAAAAATATTAAGAACCATTATGATAATAATAATAATAATAATAATGTAATTCCTTACGATTTTTTTATTTTATTGGAAACGTTTTAAAATTTTTTTTTTTTTCTTCTCCTTATTCTCAGAATAAATTTGATTTATTTTACGTTAAAAAAAAATATATATATATATATATATATTGATATATAAATCATTGTTTTACTTAACGAGGTGAGAAAAAGAAAAAAAAAATTTTTTTTTTTACCAATATGTCAAATTGAAATAAAAAAAAAAAACTTACTGCGTAACACACGAGATACATATTAAAACTGAGAAGAAAATCGAAGATTAACCGTTAATTTTGTATCGACCAATCAGAATAATCGATTCGATTTAAAATCGACCAATCAGAATTGAGAATTTTAAAAAGTAAACATAATGACGCATTCCTATTGGCTGTTTAAAATTTAAAGTGATGTGATTGGTTGAAATTAATTTTGACGTCACCGCATAAACAAAAATCAATTAAATTATGGGAAAATGATTTTAAAAATTCGTTAAAATGAAATTCGAGGAGGGGGAGGGAAAGGGAGGGGGAAATTAAATAATAATTGTAAATAGTTTCTAAAATTGACAATTTGAAAATTTTCCCTGTCATTTTAAATTTCCGGCATTCGGTTACATAAAAAGTTTTTTTATTTTTTTTTTTTAAAATAATTTTAAGCAAGTTGAAAATACAAAATTGAAAAACTTTTGTTTTCCTCGTAAACAAAAAAAATAGGAGGAAAAAAAGGAAAAATTTGAATTTTTAGAATTACTTATGAAAAAAAAAAAATCTCACGAATAAATTTTTTTTTTCATTTTTTTCTAAGGGAAAACCAAAAAAATAAAATTTATTTTGCGGAATCGAAATATCGATAAATACAAAAAATGATAATTTATTTTCATGTAAAAAACCAACAACAACAGGAGCAAGAACAGCAGCAGGAGCAGAAGCACCAGCAGGAGCAGGGGCAGCAGCAGGGGCAGCAGCAGTTGTTTAAAAAAAAATAACGATCGAAATAAAAATAAAAAAAAGAAAATTATTTCCCGGAAGTAATTTGGTATTTAAAAAAAAACAAACAAACAAACAAAAAAAATTTTTAAAAAATCACAACAAACATTTTTTTTTTTTTTAATAAAATTTAAAAAGTAAATTTAATAAAAATTTTTTTCCCGCCAAAACAAGAGTATTTATTTAAAAAATTTATTCACTTTTTTTCTCTCTCCTTTTTCCCCGCCTTTTTTTTAAAAATCTATTTGTTTTTTTTTTCTTCTGCCACGAAAATATTTATGCATATACATATCGATCAACGTGAAAGAAGAAAAAACGTTATAAAATATATATATATAAAAATTTTAAAATGATATAATTTTATTATGTAAATTGTAAATGTGTAAATTAATGTCACTCGAGGGGATTTAATAAATTACGGTTTTTAGAGTTTTCCTTTGATTTTAGTTTAACGGAAAATGACGGTCATTTGTAAAGTAAATTGATCATCCTTTGGGATCTTTTTCATTTAATTTCACGAAAGATTTACATAATTTTCTTTTTTTTTTTCCTCCTTAAATTGAAACAATAATAATAATTATTATTATTTACCTAAAATGGCATTTCCTCTGGGAGTTGATAAACCTCCCATTGTCATCACGTGCGAATGATCGGAAGTAAGAACAATTAAAGTTTCACTAAGATCCACCATAGACATGGCGGTTAAAACCGCGGATTCTAATGCGATCGTTTCATCTAATGCTCTGTACGCATTATTATAATGATGAGCATGATCGATTCTTCCTCCTGATTAATTTAAACAAAAAAAAAATTCAATTAAATTCAATTCAATTTGTTTAATTCAATGCGTTTGTTATATCCAACCATTTCATTTCCTGTTTTGAAAAAAAAATTCGATCGATACACAAACGCACGCACACCCACACGCACACACGGGGGGAAACGCATATATACACGTTTATTGGTGAAATCATTGTCAAAAAAGGAAATTAAAAAAAAAAAAAAAAAACTTATTTTTTTTTCGGTTTCGGTCATTGTCGATTCCTGATTTATAACTTTAAACGATTTTCCTATCTTAAACTCATTTACAAAATATATTTGCATCGGTTGATCCCTCGGGATGAATTTCGATTAATCAAAACCCGGTCCGAAAAAAAAAAAAAACGACACAGTTATTTCAAACGAAAGTGTGGGGGGTTTTGTTACCTATTTCGGAGTGAAAAGAAACGAGGGGGGGAAAGGGTGAAAAGGGTTCGTTAATAATGATAATTTTTTTTATGCGAGAGGTGATAGTAGTAGGTAAGTGTTATAAATTTATTTATTTATTAAAAATAATTTTTTTTTTTTTTTACGAAAATAATTTCCGGATAAATAATTCATGAAATTTATTAAAAACTTTTTCCGTTAATTAAAAAAATTTTTTTTTTCTTTTGAACGTTGGCATTTAATTACGTGAAATTTACAAAAAAAAAAAAAAATTACGCCATTTTGTTTATTTATTTTTATAAATAAATAAACTTTATTATTACGATAATATTTTTTAAAATTATTTATTAATTTTTAAATAAGTAAATAAATAATTTTAGTAAAAAATAAAAATATAAAAAAGAGAGAAAAGGAGAGAGGGGAGAGAAAGGGAGAGGGAGAGGGAGAAAGAGAGAAATTTTAAGATGAGGCAGCCATTTTTTTTTTTTTTTGTTTATATCGGATTTTACGTTTGAAATATTTATTATAGAAAAAAAAAATTTATATGTATGTATGTGTTTACCTTCAACGAATAAAAAAAATCCTTTCGTGCTTTTTTGCAACATATTTAAAGCTGTTCTTGTCATATCGGCTAAAGACGGATCCCCATCTGGCCCAGTATTACGATCCGTTTCAAAATCCATGTGAGAATATGAAAAAAGCCCTGAACAAAAAAAAAAAAAAAAAAAGATGAAGAAGAAAATTCGAGAAATAAATTTTCTTTTTTTTTTTTCCCCCATTTAGAAAATTATATTTTGCATGAGGTCAATAAACCTTCTTTTTTTCTTTTTATTATTATTATTATTACTTTTTTTTTTTTTTTATAAAACGACATTGTGATTCGTCAATTTGTTTGTCGGGTATTTGTTACAAACGTTTTACTCCAGGTACTATTCCACTCTAATCTCTCGGGAATAAATACCTGTCGAACAGGTTTCGTATTACGTATTTATTATTAATATTATTATCATTTATGAAAAGTTTTCACGTATTTCTGGAGTTAAGAGTTTTTTTTTTTTTTTTAGAACTTATTCCAGGTTTTTTTTACACTAGATTCCTTATATTAAAAAAAAATGAATAAATACTCTTATCATTATTATCATCATCATCATCATTATTATTATTAATATTTTAAAAAAAAGTATAAAAAAAAAATTCAATTTTATCGGATTTCGTCGAGCGTAAAACGCAACATCACTTTTTTTATTTTTATTTTTAATATTACGTAATAATCTGTCAAATTTATTTTAATAATATTGTATACTATAATATACAATGTTTGTATATCCAGACACGCCCGCACGCACCCACACACGCACTTATTATTACGCGTTTGTACGAAAACATAAAGTTTAATATTGGTTTTTTTTTTGCTTTTCATCCCCTTCATCCCTTTCATTCCCGCGAAAAATTTTATTAATAAAAAAAAAACATTAAATTTAAAAATTTTTTCCTCTTGCGAAAAATCCATTGTTTTTTTTTTCTATTTAACAAGAATTAATCGAGTGCGAAAAATATTTTTTCATATTATATTATAACGAATAATGATGATGATGATGATGATGATGGAAATTAAGTAGTAGAAACACTTCTGTTATAAGATAAGGAAAAGTTTTCTTTTTGACAAAAGTTTTTTATTGTCTCAAAATATTTTTATATGGACATCTATCTCTCTCTCTTTTTAACTTTATTTTCCAGAAATTTTTATCAAAAATTAAATTTTCCTTATTTTAATAACGTTACATAACTTTAAATTGATTACGTCACATGAAATAAATAAACAAAGAAAATATATCAATAAATAAATTATTTATCTACGAAAATATTTATCGGGGAAAACTATTGACGGGAATTTAATTTTACTTTTTTTTTATTTCCATCATTTTCCCACCAACAGTCTCTCTCTCTCTATCTCTCTCTCTTTCTCATTATTTTCCTATCTCATCTCTGTCAATTTGTCATCAGTTTTTTTTTATTTTCAATTTTCTATTCGTTTTACAATCAGAAACTTATATTAAAAATACAAAATCGTTGTAACAAGATAGTAGTTAAATTGCATTTCGTGCAAAATAATATTATTATTCTCCTGAATGGTGATGATGATAATAATAATAATAATAATAATAATATTGATTATTGGATTTTCTATATAAAAAAAAAATTCTTTTTCTTTTGTATTCTTAACTTAAAAAAAGTTAATTTTTAAAAAATTATTATTTCTTTCTCTCTCTCTCTCTCTCTTTTACCAGATAAATACGTTTAAAATTTTTCATTGTTCACTTTCACTCGTCTTCTGCTATTTTTCAAATTACAATCGAATTTGAAATAATGCCAGAATCAATTGTATGCCGTCTCCTCCTCCTCCTCCACCTCCACCTTCTCCTTCTTCTTCTTCTTATATTACCTTCGTTTTTTTTGTTGTATTTAACTTGATAAAAAAAATTATAAAATTTGTTTTTTTTTCCCCTTGTTGTTTGTTAGATTTTTTTTTTATTTAAAACTTTTTTTTTATCATGATAATGTTGCTAATAATAATAATAATATATACGTATCGTTTTTCTTTAAATTTATTTTTTTTTATTGTAAAAACTTGAGTTGTTAAGACGATTTCAAGGTAATCAAAAATCGTTTTTTTTTTGTGTGACAAAAAACGTGAAAATTTTAAATTTCAACTGTCAGTTTTAAACGTTAACTTTTGGTTTTTGCAAATTATTTAAAATTTAATAAAACACCTGATACACCTTTACCATAGCAAAACTAAATAATAATAATATTCATATTTTAAATTGTTTTGCGGTGAACAAGATAAAAAAAAAAAAGAAAAAAAATGGCGAAAATATTTATTTTACTCAATGATTTACCACGGTTTTTTTTTTAAATTTATTTTATTGTTATTATTATTATTATTTTTCTGTACGTTTGTCGTTTGTTCGTATGTTTCCACGAGCGTTAATTTGTTACGTATCGAAAATATAGATTTTCTTATTTTTTAACGTAATTAAACACGTAAAATTAAAATTAAAATTTTATTTTCAAATAAAACGTTTTACGCGTTAATAAAAAACAAACATGAGGAAAATTTAATAATTTAAAATTATTATAAATTCACGCGTTGATCCCATTATCATTAAAATTTATACGAATTTATATATTTAATTTTTTTTCACGTTAACAATTAACAAAAAGGCGCGAAAAAAAAAGATTTAAAAATAAAGGAAAATAAAATCCTCGATAAAAAATTTTAACGTCGTGTAAAAATCTCAAAAGAACAAATCAACGAAAAACAAAAAATCTCGAATTATCATTATCATTATCATTATTATTATCATCATCTTTTAGGCCATAATCCGTACTTAAAATTTTGATCAATTAAAAACTTTTTTTTTTTTTTTACATATAAAAAAAAAAAACAAATTTTTACTTCCTTTACCGGGTAAAAACACGAATTTTGCATTAAATGCTGTTGTTGTTGTGAGGGATTTTTTTTTTTTTGTTAAAAATCCCAAAGGTTGAAAACCTTTTTTTTTCTTTTTTTCCTTTCCTTTTTTTTTTTATAAAAAAAATTAAATAAGAGAGAGAGAGAGAAAGTGCGTGGTTGCGAGTAACTATTACGTAAGAGATAGACAGGTAAAATCCCACGAGAAATAATTAAATAAATTTATTTAATTTTTAAATTTTAATTAATAAATAATAATAATGATGATGATGATGATGATGATGATGATGTAAACTCACCCAATAAATGATCAATTTGTTTCTTATTGATTTCTTCCATTTGTGATTTGTTCCACACGTAAGCGGAATTAAGTCCTCGTCTTTTTTTATCACGAATCCAATCATCGATTAAATTTCTACCATCTAATCTCCTTCCTTCATCTTTATCAGATTCCGGATCTTTTGCTACTTTTGGTAACCAATGTCTTCTACCACCGCCTAATATTACCTAAAAATAAACAAAATAAATTTTTCATATCTCACTCGAATTTTTTTTTTTTTCTTTCGAGCGATGCAAATATGGAAATAAGAAATTTTCCTTCTTTTTTTTTTTTTTTTGTAAAAAAAAACGATATAGAGAAAGTGAAAAATAAAAAAACGCGATATTAAAAAAAAAAAAAAAACAGAAAACAAACAAACAAACAACAAGAAAAAGGAAATAGAAACTCTCGTCGAGAATAAAAAAAAAAAAAAAAAATGAAAAACTTGATAAAGGAAATGTAATAAAAACTTTAAAGAAATGCGGTTAAAACTAACAAAAGGAAGAAAGAATCAAAGGGAAAAGATAAAAAAAAAATAAAAAGAGGGAGGAAGGAGGGAGAGGGGAGGTGAAAATGGGATGCTGGAGGGATGGAATGGGAGGTGGCGAATGAGTAGAATGAAAAAAAAATCTTTAAAAATTCAACGTCGGCGTACATTAAAAAAAAAAAAAAAGTTTTTCATTTAAATTATATTTATATATTTCAATGAAAAAAAAAAATATTTAATAAATAAACAAATAGAAAAAAAAATCACTGATTTGACTCACGTATTATTAACTTTTATCGAATTTTTTTAAAATTTTATTTTATAATAATATTAATCTGAAGTTTTTTTTTTTAGCAAATCCGAGACAGAGAGAGGGAAAAAGAGAGAAACAAAAA